GAACCGTGCGGCTAAATAAATCTTCTCAAATTCACTCAACAGAACGTCGTTGCTATCATTAAAGTAAAGGGCCCTAAGTCTGTGGGGAGATGTGTCTTTTCTAACTAGACCCCTATCATACTTAAGCCCAGAAATAATGTCAAACTTCGTCCGCCCAAATGACACCTTACTCCCAAACAGGTTGAAGCTAATGGTGTCAGGTGTACTATCCTCGATCTCCCTAAGTAGGATGTTGTGTATCAGTGGCCCGTTAAATACGAGGTCTAAGTCAAGGAGATGGCCGAATACAGTTTTCCTAAACATCCTAAGCTGTGGTGGGGTCAATTTACTCTTAATGGCTGCGGTAGTCTTCGCTAAGTGCGACAAACATGTCAAATTGGCGGAGGCATACGATGAGGAAGGGATTTTAGCTACCATTTCCATTTTGAATTAACCTGTAGATGAGTAAATAAAGGATCCTATGATCAGAGAAAATGACAAACCATACATATAAATATATGCTAACAACCAACCAATCCTTAAACAAACCCGAAAAAAATAAAAAACTATTTCTGTCAACTTTCTCGGGGCAATTTTTGGGTGAAGTCGTGCACGAGAATTTTGGCAGTATTAATGAACTCGAACCTTTCGCTCGGGAATCATTAATCTTGTAAATATTCTGGTGGACTTTCCCGGGCGAGAACGGGCCCCGAGAATTTTTCCAGATCCTACATCTCCCACAATTTCAATTTAGCTCACCCGAAATGCCCCGGGAATTTAGTGTGTTATTTATCGTCTGTAAAAATTCTCGGGCCATTTCGGGCGAAATAAATAAAAAAGAATTTCCAACACACCATGGCCGAAATGCCCCGAGAATTTATCCAGCCGATAAATAATACTCCAACTGCATATCCACCACGCCCGAAAGACCACGAGAATTCATAATTTCCCAAATCYGTAACSTAATTTGCCCGAAAACCACCGAGAAATCATCAAATTCCTAAGAACAAACTCCAAAACGTTGGCAATCCTAAACTATTTCGCCCGAAACCCACCGAGAATTCTCCAGATTCTAAATAATCGAAGCCCTAACCCACTTCCTACGAAATAACCCCGA